CTGAGGAACTGAACCCAGGGCTTCATGCATGCTAGGCAAGCACTCTACCACTAAGCCACATTCCTAGCCCCTCCAAGTGCATTTTTATACTAACTAGAATTATATCTTTAAGATAAAATTTAAGTGTGCAAGCCAAAGCTATCCCAATGTCACATAAGAAGTATCTCTGAAACGTCTATCTTCTAGTAGTTTGTCTCTCACATGTGACTGTACACAAATCAAGAGAAGTGATTCCAGTTTGAATCTTCACTCAAAAAACTTGATTACAATTTTAAAACAAAAATTACAAGAGGTTTTAGGGGTATAACTCGGTGTTACAGTGCTTGCTTATTATTCATGATGACCTGACTTTGACCATTAGAACCACAAAAAAAGTTTACAGGGAAACAGTAAAAGTGGAAAGGACATACTTGCCTAGTGAGCACAATACCCTGAGTTCAAATCTGTTCAGAAAAAAAAAATAAATTCAGTATTTAGAAAGTTTATTGATGTAACAGTTTCTCCCCTTCAATACCAGCAAAGATAAACATTTCAATATTGTACTATTTAGAAAAAAATCTTTGGTTATTACTTAGGCTTATCTATTTCTAGAACTTGGATCTAAAGGAGGAACTTCAAAGAAAAATTACAAATCCTGGAAACCAGGTGTAATAACATTGAGTTTTCAGTACTCTCATGTCCATTGTTCAACCTTTTCTTTTTTTGGGGGGTGGGGTGGGGGTGGGTGGTCCCTAGAAGCCTCCACTCAGATCATGTCTACTGTTTCTGGTAGAAGCCCTATGTTGTTGGATCTGGTTTGGATAATGCCACCTTATATAAAGCAACTAAAAAGACTAAATAAAAGTTAAAGTACTTTTCTAGCAAGCTCTTTATAACATTTAAGAAACAATCAGTCCTTTTGTTTCAAGGACTCAGATGTCCAGACATGCATTTGGTGAGAATTTCATATGGGTCTAAAAACTGTTTTTAATGTTTTATTTGGTCTGTAAACATAACTGAAAATTTTGTTATTTATTTTGGTTTCATTTGGATTTGGTTAAACACGTTTATAAATGGAGAATGATCAAGGTACACTGAATGCATATATGGACATGTCAAAATGAAACCCACTTGTACAACTAACAGGCTAATTTTTTAAATATGGACAAAATACTTTTCTTCTCTTTTGTTTCTAAACATCTTATAATAGCAAAAATATAAATTCTAAATCACGGACACCAGAGGGCCAATAAAAATCCAACAAAGTGTTATTGGTGGACACTATCTTTAAGGAATCCGGGTCTTCATAGAAGTCTCTCATATGAGAATTGCCTAGTCATGGGCAAGTGAAAGAATATTGTACCAGGTACACTTGTCAAAGTAAAACATTTTTGTCTCAAACCATTAAAATTCCTTGACAGAGGCTATCAGATTTTCTTTGCTCTTGGGACAATAAGAAGCAGACTGGGATACTGTCAGTGAGCTCTCTATTGCTAATACCTAAGATAACCAACTTAAAGGAGGAAAATACTGGGCATAGCTCAAGTGGCAGACTGCCTGACTAGCAAGTGAATCCCTGAATTCAAACTCCAGTGCTATAAAAAAAAAAAAAATAAAGAGAGAGGAAAAAAATACAATTTTGGGTCCATGGTCAACTGTTTCCATTTTTAGGCCTATTCGATATAGAACATGGTGGGGACCATGGAAAGAGAAAAAAGGTGTTTGCATATAGCTAGCCAGTATTTCTAGCACAATTTTTTGTTGAAATTGTTACTTATTACATGTTTTTGATATACCTGTATAAGGTAAGCTGAGCATCAACAGTCTTACATATATGCTTACGTCATTTTTTTTTCTTGTGCCAGTAATGGGCCTTTAAACTCCAGGTCTCACACTATTGCTTAGCTTTCTTGCCCAAGGATGGTGCTTTACTAATTGAGCTACCCCTCCACTTCATGTTATTTGAAAACAACAGTTGTACAACCCTTCCATAAACAGGTATCACCATTTCTATAGGACGGTACTTGCTTTATTAAGATCTTATAAAGTGCTTTCAATTCTTCCCAATTATTGATAGGTATATTTCATATAAGGCCTTCATTGGCTGAGATACATTTCTTCTATACTGTTTTTTGGAGTCCTAATCATAAATGAACATCAATTATTAGATGATTTTTTAAAATATATTGACTTAATCATGGTTCTCTCTTTACTGTGTCATACCACATTGACTTGCATGTGTTCAAAGTAGTCCTTTGAGTTTTTTTTTTTTGAGGTTTCTCCTAGAGTATATTTTTCCATTTCTGATTTTTTTTCTATGCCACATAATTTATTTCATACCCATTTTCAACTTTTATCTGTATTTTTTCTTTTTAAAATTTTGGATTATTTTAGTATACTAAGGCCTAGAGGGATGCTGCAAATATTATCCCTCCCACACAATAAAGAGAGAGTACTTCTCTACTATTATTATCAAAAAGCCAAATATAGAATCTACACTTCCATACCACCACCAATAATAATAAAATACAACTATGCATCTATCAGAATACTATGAGGGAGTCTATGGTAATAAGACTTAATAGACCAAGTCTTAATACCCAAAATGTTTAACTTTCAATGAAAATATTCATAATATGTAATCAGCGAGATTCCAAATTGAATGATAAAAGTCAACACTAAGATAACACAGATGTTGAGAGTTATCATAAGAGGATTCCAAAGCAGTAACTCAAGAAAAAAATATTCCCATGAGTAATTAAAACTATGCTTGAAAATACATGAAAATAAAGTCTCAGAAAAAAAACAGAAAAATAAAAAATATAATAACTGGACAAATAATTAAAAAATCCCTTCAATAGGTCAATCACAGGGTAAGGGGAAAAACAATGAAAACAGTGAATAATACAACACAGAATTTAACTCATCTGACAAACAGAACAAAAATAGACCCAAAAAACTGTGTCATCAAAGTCCCATAATCAGGGACAAAATGACTTTGAGAAAAGGCTTTGTGTGACAAAATACAGGATATAACTAGAGAAATAATGCAGATTCACTTAGAGTACACAGGATATAACCAGAGAAATACATGTCATCATAGTCAAGTTTCTAAAAAAATGAGAGACATCCTAGGAGATAAATAATCTACTAACCATAGAAGAAAAATATTTTGAAATACAAAAGATTTTCATCCAAATACATGATGGGCAGAGGAAGTGATATAATATTTTCAAGTGCTGTAACTATTGTCAATTCTATATCCAATTACAGGATAGTTCAGTAATCAAGAGGAATCAAGATAATCCCAATGGAACCTAAGAAAAATTATCAGGAAGACCTAACCTAAAAGAATGGTTGAAGGAATCTCTCTAAACAGAAAAGATATTGTTTAGAAATATATAGTATAAAACAGTTACTAAAAAGGATTGGAAGACTCAAAACAGTAAGAATATAATCATTCCAAACTGAGATACAATTATAATTCATATTAAAAAACAATCTTAGCAAGATTAATTTTGTATACAGACGATATTATTCTAAAATTCATAAAGGCAAAGAAATAGAGTAATAGCTAAAACAGCTCTAAAAACAATCTACATAATTTAGAAATGCTATAGTAATAGAAACTACTTACTGATAGAAATATAAATCAGAGGAATAGAACAGAGTATAGGAATAGGCCAACATACTGTTATCCCCAAGTATGGCCAACAGAAATTTGATAAAGATGCAAATGAAATTCAACAGAGGAAAGAGAGTTGTCAACTAATGACAGTAGAATTGGCATTCACTGTTACATACCCACAGACACATATACAAACTTTTCCCTAAACCTTACTCCTTATAAACAAAAATGGATTAGAGATGTAAAATTAAAATACAAAACTTTCAAAATATAGTGTAAGAAAAAAATTAGAAGTTAGCTTTTGATGGATAATCCTTAATCTATAAAATAATAATAAATCAATACTTTTCTTCTTTAAAATTAAAAACTTAAGGCCTATGTAAAAATGTACGTGAAAATGTTCAACATATTAGCCAATATGGACTATGTCCCCCAAAATTCATACATTAAATCCTAACACAAAGGTGATAGGTAATATTAGAAAAGATAAAGCCTTTTGGAGGTAATTAGGACTTGAGTATAGAATCCTTCTAAAACAGATTAGCATATTTGTGGGATAGACCCTAGCCCTGTAGCCTCTTTCCTCCATGCCAAGATATTATATAAGTTAGCATTCTGAAACCTGGAAGAGGGCATTCACCAGACCCCAACCATCTGAGACATGGCATTTGGTATCCTTATCTCAGACATGCAGCACCATAACTGAGAAATAAACTTTTTTATAAGCGCCCCAGTATATGGCATTTTGGTATAGAGAACTCAACTAAGATAGAAGACATTTTGAAAATGCATATAAAAACATTGAAGAACTTGGGTCAGAAGAGTATTACAACAGACTCAAATGTTTAGGATAATGTGATCTTTCATGTACCACTAATGGAAATGTTAAATAGTATAGCCACTGTAGAAACAGTTTGGTAGGTTTTGGTTTTTGTGGGGTTTTTTTCAAGCAAAATGTATTCTTAACATTTGTCCCATTTATTGCAGAGATGAAGACATATGAACATGTTAAAAACATGTGCACAACTATTCATCATGATTTTATTTATAATAGCTAAACATGGGAAATTACCAAAATGTTCAATTAATAGGTACACAAAGTATGATATAGCCAAACCAGTGAACACTACTCACAAATCAACAGGAATTACTGTACAACAACCTGAATGGACCACAAGGATGAGAGAAAATAAAAACCCAAAAATCATGACTTATTATGACATCTACATGACATTCTCAAAATGACCTAATTATAGAGATAGAGAACAGTTATTAGTTGTCATTGCTTAAAATGGCGGTCAGCAGGGGACAGCATATATTTTAAAAAGTAAAATATTCCTGTGAATTAACTTCAGATGCTTCAGTACCAGAAAAAAATACGCATACACACTTCTCATCTAACCAGTATTTTAATAATCATAATATAAACTAATAGAAAAATGTTTTTATTATTTGCTGCCATCTAAAATAGTAAGTATAAAATATTCAAGAATATTTTCTTTGGCTTCTAACCTTTGCTCTTCTTTAGAATTACCTGTAAAAGGAAAAATAAAGATTCATATTATATGTATAGAAATCAAAACATAATTCTCAACAAAAGATTAATTAAACATGTATACAAGGTACAAGTCTCTGATTTGTAAAAGCCAATTTGGAGGGTAATCAGAATTCTTTCCCTTATAAGTGACCTCAGAACTTGGAAAAAATTATATTAAATGAAGTAAACCAGGCCTAAAAATACATAGGTCCCATGGTTTCCCTTATTTGCAATAACTAGTATATATCTGAGACAAGCAGAAACGGTCAGATTAAGTTGATGTTAGGCGAAAATGAACCACAAGATAAAGGCTCAAATGTTTTTTTTTTTTGCAACTGTTTCTAACAAAATTTCTTTGTTGCTTTGTATGTCCCTTTCCCATGGTATAACCCCTGTTTTCACTGTATTTGATGTTGGTATAATTTGGGGAGAGGAAGGGAAAAAACAAATTGTTTAAATAGGGATACAGGTGGACCCATTGCAACAATGAGATGTACAAGACCTTTTGTCAAAAAATGAACTTTACAACTTTGGCGGAGAGGGGGAGGCGGTTGGGAAAAGGAAACAATTTTTTTTTTTTGGGGGGGGGGGGTGAGAGGGTCTGGTTGTGGGGCCTGAACTCTGGGCGTGGGTGCTGTCCCTCAGCGCTTCAGCTCAAGGCTAGCGCTCTACCATTTGAGCCACAGCGCCACTTCCGGCTTTTTTCCTTTTTTGCTAATGTGGTGCTGAGGAATCGAACCCAGGGCATCTGGCATGCAAGGCAAGCGCTCTACCACTGAGCCGCCTTCCCAGCCCCTAATTTTTTTCTTTTAAATCAATCCTCTGTTTATATTTTTTTCCTACTATATATATTTTTTTTCTTTTTTTTTTTTGTCGGTTGTGGGGCTTGAACTCTAGGCCTGCGTGCTGTCCCTCAGCTCTTCAGCTCAAGGCAAGCGCTCTACCACTTGAGCTAGGTTTCTGAGTGGTTTATTGGAGATAAGAGTCTCAGAGTTTCCTGCCCAGGCTGGCTTTGAACCTCGATTGTCAGATCTCAGCCTCAGTATAACAGGCTTGAGCCACCAGTGCCTGGCTACTACAATTCTCTTAATTGCAACAAACAGCTAAAAAATAATCAGGGTAACTTAAAATGGCCATAAAGAAACTTTAGATAAACATCAAGGTTATATAAAGTTTCAGATTAGGAATGGGTAAACATCAATTATTCCCTAAGCAATGGTAAAGCAGTAACATTAATTTTAAGGAAAAATAACTTCATAACTGAAATCTATTCACTTGAAAAGCCAAACATAAGCTAAGGTTCCTGGATCAGGCAGAGGCAATGGCCCTGGTAGTATTTTTAAAGCTAAAGAAATGCAGACTTTACCTTTGCTGCAGCCAGAATGTGATCCTTGCTAATGATTCCACACTTTTTCTCACAAGCATTAGTCCTGGATTCTTCTGCTAATCGTTGAACAAACAATAAACAGTTCAAATGAACCTTTAAAAGAAAAGTAAAAATGAATTCTTAATATCAAACACTAATTCTAAAATAAGGTTGTTTTTAAAGATCCTAAACTATACTGCATTGCAATATACGAACAAAGTGCTTTGTATAATAGATGGAAGACCACAGAAAAGTATTTAAAGCATCACATTATATCAAATTTAAATGCCAACTATTCCTGCTTCTGATTCCAAATAAATGTATTTATAATGTAATTTAAATTTCAAAAAATACTAAATAAAAACATATCAGTGACGATTTTAGGCCCTTTTTTTCTACTTTTTACTTTCTGCTGGTCCTGGGGCTTGAACTCAGCCCCTTAGCACTGTCCTTGAGCTTTTGTGTCCAAGGCTAGTACATTACTACTTAAGCCACCTTTCTACTTCCAGCTTCTGGTGGTTAACTGGAGATAATAACCTCGCAGACTTTTCTTTTTTTTTTTTTTTTCTCACAGACTTTTCTACCCAGGCTAAGTTCAAACAGCAATCCTCAGATCTGAGCCTCCTGAGAAGTGAGGATTACAGGCATGAGCCATCTGTACCTGACATGAGGTATATTTTTAATCAGATATTTAATTGAGTATTTAAGCATTCAAAAATATAATTTAAGAATGATAAATTGAAATTTTTAAGTTTCATTTCCTTTTTTTATTAGCCAATCTATTGTACAAAAGGGTGCTTTTTGTTTTGTTTTGGTGCCAGACTGGGGCTTGAACTCAAGAGCCTCATGCTCTCATTTGGCTTTTTCCAGTCAAGTCTGGCACTCTATCACTTGAGTCACTCCTTTAATTCCTGAACTGAAAATTTTATGTACAAAGGTCAAGTTCTTGTCATTTGTGAATTTTCTTAATATATAAATCATTAATAGTGGTGAGCAGAAAACCATTAAGCAAAGAAATAGAGTGGATATATGGCATATAAGAGACAGTAGATAACTGCTTAATGGAAGCCAGGGAAGACAAGTAGGTCACCTAGGAACAGCTAATGAGCAAAGAATTTCCTTACCCTACCACTACACCTGCTTGGAATTTCAATTCCCCTTCTCTTCCATGCCACACAGATCCCCTCCCACCACAGAACTCACCTGACTATCTGGCACTTAGGCAAAACTGGATGGATATTGAGAAGCAGACTACTTGAAAAATGTTTGCCAAGCCAGATATACTGGCTGGTAGTTTTCTAGAGATCATTGACCAGTAATAGTTCTTTCTCCATTTAGAAGTCCCAGGAAAAGTCCAGAACAAACTACCTAAAAATTTATTCAATGTGAAATCCAGTTTGCCTATAACACCTCTATCACCACCATAGAGTAAGAGCAGTAGTAAAAGAGCCTATATTGCCTTTTCTTATAGAAAATAAGAAAAGAACATCAAGAAGAGTGCAAATTATTAGAAGTACTACTACTATTCCATAGGAGAAAAATGTTATGTTTTTGCTGTAGAGACCAAACAGTGGGAAAACTGAAACAATTCTAGAGTACTCTAGAAAAAAAAAAAAGGAAAATACTTCAGGGTAGCAATGGATGGGAAGACAGTGAAAAACCTCAAGAATTACAGGCAAAAGAGAAGTTAGAAAAACCAATGTATGTGAAGAACAATTGAAATGATTTCCTCCCCAAGACTATTTGTTAGCCATGGGTCTGTATATTTCTCTGAAAACTAGGTGCCTGCTTTAATAAACTGAACATGTGTTTTATTATTTGAATAGGTAAAGTATTAACTGAGAGCACTTTAGAGATCAATCCGGGTTCTCTAATAAAATTAAGAGCTAAAATTAAGAGGAAACTGGACAGTGTTTAGCACGGTGAGAAGAGAAGGGAGGGTAGGTGGAAAAGAATTTAAATGTTTTTTGTTGTTGTTGTTAAGAGAAAAATGCTCAAAAACGGGTATTTTTTTAGGTGTAGCTTTCATACCCCTTACCAACACAGAAAATCGCAATGTCAGATGTTTCTATTATTATTGAGAAACCATAAGAGAAGCCCGCCCGGTGCCCGTGGCTCCCACTTGTTAATCCTAGCTATTCCCTGAGATCTGAGACTTTAAGGTTCGAAGCCAGCCTCGGCTGGATAGTCTCTGAGAACACCCCCCCGCCCATCCCCCCCCCAAAAATAAAGCTGGGAAGTGGGGCTGTGAGTCAAGTGGTAGAACAGTAGGGGGGGGGGAGAGGGACAAACATTTCCCCGGCAGTCAGCTGACGTTACCAGCAGCCCCAGCCCCTTTTCATTTATTAAACTCCAGCTGCCTAATTTCGGCGGGTCCTGGTTCAGCTCGGCGTCGGGAGGGTGAAGCCGGGCCCGAGCCCGGATCCGCGAGGCGGGGTGCGGCCCCGGCCCGGGGTCGAGGCTCAGGCCGGCCCCGCCCTCCTCCCGCCCGGAGCCGGTCGACTCACCAGCAAGTCGCCGCGCGACACCAGACGTAGGTGAGGCTTCTGTCGCTTAAAGACGCCCTTGAGAAAGCCGCGGGGAGCCTTCCGCTTTACCGGCCTTCTCCGGAAGACCGTGGTCGACGGCGGCATGCTTCCCGTCAGACAGCCGGCTCCGAGAGCTCCCGGCCCCAAGGTTCGAATTGGCCGCCCAGGGCCCGCGCCGACGCGGGGCAGTGACGTCACCCGCGCGCGTCCCGGAACAGCCGAGGATTGGTAGAAAACTCCCACGGTGGGCGGATCCCGAGCGCTCTGGGACTTCATTCAAGGTCCCTGGGCCTCAATCCCTGCCGGGGTTTTCACTGCTCATTAGAAATAGGTTCCCAACTGGTGATGGGAAGCTGTAAAGAAATGGTATCAAATCAGGACAGCCACGCTGGGTCTCCAGGCTAATGCAGTCTAATGAATATAAATTTTATTTTTAACAGGATTTTATTTTCCAGACCTAGTGCTTAAACTCAGAGCCGGGGCGCTGTCCCTGGGCCTCTTTGTGCTCAAGGCTAGTGCACTACCACGTGAGCCACAGCACCACTAATGGCTTTATTATCATTATTATTATCATCATTATTATTATTTTATTGGAACTAAGAATCTCATGGACTTATCTGCCTGGCTGGCTTTGAACAGTAATCTCAGATCTCAGCCTCATGAGCCACCAGAGTCTGGCTAATCAGGATTTTTTTTAAGAACCAGAGCCTTCCATACCTGATGATCTTAGCTTACATGGCAAAATCATACATAAACATATCATTTAACTCTGTGACATTGTTTCCCACAATTGAGCAAATCCCCTCCTTGGTATCTGCAAAGATCTGAATGTTTGTGTACTCCAATATTTGTATGTTGAAACCTAGTCACAAATGTGATGAGATTAGGAAATGGTGCCTGTGGAGGTGAGGACCCAGCTAGAAGGCTGGGTAAATCACTGGTGCCACAAGGTGCTCCCTGAAGTCAATAATAATAGCAGCTGATCTTGGACTTCCAAGACAAGTTTTGGAGTTGGATAGAGGCAAGCAGAAAGGAGCCTTTAAATTTGTTTGCACTTTCAGGTGTTCTACAATGAAAATTTACAAGTTTTAAAATATGTACTTACAAGCATTTCAGGTATAGCAAGTATGAAAGTAACGATTTTAATTTATACATGTAGCAAATCTATATATCATTTTATTTAATCTTAACAAAACTATGACATAAGAAGGGTTGGTATGAACATAGTGCTTTTTTTGTATACAGACAAACGGTCCAAGTGTTTAAGTGGATATTTGGAAGCATTAACTCAGGTGTTTTAATTTTTAAGTATACTATTCTGTCCTTAAATATAAGTATACACTTACCATTTTTTTCTGAATTACTTTTCTTCTAAAATTCTACATTTTGTATACTTCTACCTTCCTTTATTAAAGAGTCAGAGCAAACATTAGGAAATGTCATCATAATCTAAATGTTCTATATATACACTGTTTAATCATTTTCACAAATGTAATATTCCTTTGCTTTAAAAGGTCAAAATCACAATGAAGCTATCAGAACTCTGACAGCTAAAGTAGTCTTCACCCAAAATGGAAGTGTCCTGAGGACCAGATAGTACTAAATTCAAAATCAGGGAGAGTAAGACAGAATTTTACTTGTTTTTGTTTGTTTGCTTGCTTACTTGTTTTTGTTGTTTGGATTTTTGGGTTTTGTGGGGATTGGGGTGGTTGGAATAGAATGGCTTCTAGAAAGATCATTGTTTCCCTTCTTTACTCCTGTTCATATATTCCTATGGTACATATTTGTCCTGATTTGTAAAGGGAAAGGCCACTTAGGGCAATTTACAAAATTAAATTTATTCAATGAAAACAACTGAAAATTTCATGTTTTTTCTCCTTTATGTTAATATAAAGACTTGGAGTTCATAAGAAATAATTGCAAGTACATTACATAGTTAGAATTTACACTTACACTAAATTATTAATATCTGCTAAAATATTTGAATTGTTTTTTCATAATCTGTCCTAAAGGAATTATTATAAAACAGCAAACACACATTTAAACATAGTGAAATATTTTCAAAAAGTAGTCTAAGATATAAATTTGTATACATGCATTAACATTATTATGACCATATTAAAATGAGGTTTATAGGAGTTAATAGCTTACTGGGAAATCTATATTAATTCCAAATGAAAAATAATGTCTATACACAAAAAGAAATTACTTCAACTCTTAAATAAAACATGTTCATACCCATAAAATAGGAGGAATCATCAAAACATAAAATTTTAGATAATGGAAATGAGTCATTCTTAAATTGTCTACATTTCCTATTAAAAATCTACTTCAATATGATGATATTTTATAGTTTGGATAATTGGTATTATGTAGTTTAAAATATTACCGAGTTTAGTTAATTAAAATACTTCTTTTAGAAAATTACACTTAAAACTTAAGAAAATATTGTTTAGTTTTTTTACTTGATCTTGCAAAATAATTTGATTATTTCATAACTTGTAATAATGTGGACATATAGAATATATTACCAAGTATGGTATTTCTATGCATTAACGTTTTTGGTTCATTTCAATAAAAATGAATATCTTAGGAGATTATTTCTTACCTGCTTTTTTGCACTCATTAGAAAAACATCATTAAAGGGTTACTAATTAAAACAAGAGGTAAGATTATTCCTGATTGGAAAGTGTTTGACATGTTATTTCATTCGCATCCTAAAATCAAGTTAATTATAATAATGGTTTAGTTTAACGTATTTAAAATGTATTATATGACTTTTTTGTTTCTTTTGAATGTTCTTTCCCCATGACATATCCTGTTTTCACTGTATTTGACGTAGGTCCCCTCCTTCTTGTATATATACATTTTTCTAATTTGGGTAGGGGAAGGGAAATAACAAAATGCTGAAATAAGGATATAGGTTTATCCATTGTAACAATGAGATGTACAAGACACTATGTTGAAAACAAACTTTACAATTTGAGGGAGGGGGAGGGGAGAGTTGGGAAGAGAAGAGATGGTAGGGGAAAAACAAAGGAGGAGGTAACAATGCTTGATAGGAAACGTACTCATTACCTTACTCATGTAACCATAACCCCTCTGTACATTATTTTTACAATTAAAAACATAAAAAACATATGATAATGGTTTAGGTTAAATAAAAAATGAATCTTCCAGATGTAGCCCAGTTGTCAAAAATTCTTGAAACTTTATATCTCTGTTTAAGCTTCATTCATCATTTGTGAGACATAGAATTGCACAAAATCTTGGAAAGTGCACTTTTCATTTTCTCAGTTGTCCAGTTGTTTACAAGACAAATTATTCCAGATTGTTGAGAAATTTCACATAACGTATATGGCTTCTTAATTAATATTCATAATTAAAATTTTTTACCTCAGCCAAGTACAATAACTTTACTGATCCTATAGTAAAACACTATTCAAAAGCCATAAAAATATTAAATATAATTCCATGGCATACATATGAAAATAATCATACATTATATAAACATAACAATAGTCCCAAAATTAATTTTGAAAATCAATACAATTTTAGTTGGCAAGATTTTGGGGGTAATGAACAAACATCCTAAAGGGATAATAATATAAATTACACTAGGAAATAAACATAAATGTGTGCTTGATACCATAGTGATGTCATTTAAGCAACAAGAAGTTTCCATTTTAGCACCACTGGATTGATACAATTATTGTTTGAGACAGTAATTTTTCTGAGATGCAAGGAAAAGGGGAATCATTTATATGTTCCTAGAGAAACTAAAGAAAATAAGCTGTATGCACTGCACATGCTTTACAAAACAAATTATTCTAATAGATTTTTGCCCTTGATATGCTGTGAAAACAAATATGAAAAGACTTGTTACTTAACTTTTTATTGTAAAATCAAGCGTTTTGAAACAGAACTATCTCATTAACTGAATTGTTCATACAGTGCAATAATGATATGTAGCTGTTTAAATTATTCGAAAAAATCTATGTGTATTAATATGAATAAATCCCTAAACCATAATGTTGGATAAAATGGAATATTCAGAAAGTTTCATACAGTGTAATAATGTATCAGTGAGTGCAAAGACTTCTTCCTGTAAAAGCACTCACTCTTTACTTGGGCCTTGCAGATATCTGAATGAGGGGCTACGACAAGATAAATATTTAGGATCTTGACCTCTCTATTTACCTGTTTCCTTTGCTGCTTTTATCTTTAGGTCATATTTGTGCTCAAATGCATGTTTATAATTTAAGAAGAATTTGATTAAAAAACAAACAAAATGTTTAAATAGAGATACAGGTTGACCCGTTGCAACAATGAGATGTACAAGACACTATGTTGAAAAACAAACATTACAATTTCGGTGGGGGGGGGAGTGTAATTGAGGAGGTGGGAGGGAAGGGATGGTAGGGGGAAAACAAAGGAGGAGGCAACAATGCTTGATAAGAAATGTACTCATTACCTTGCTCATGTAACTGTAACCCCTCTGTACAGTATTTTTCACAATAAAAAACTTATTTAAAACAAACAAACAAACGGGTATCCCTACTTTTAAGGCTGACATCATACCCAATAGATTAGCACCCACCAGCTTTTAAAGCATCCTTCACAAACAGAACGACACTTTAGTAGTCTTCAGGTCATTGCCCTAAGTCAGAAAAATGACCCAGTCATTATCCCAACTAATGCCATTTTACCTTTCTCACTTGTTCTTTTCTAAGTCATTCACTCCTACAGTCAAATTGGTTTGATCAGACAACAGGTTTGACCAATAAATATCTTGTATCAGTGTGAAACTACCTTCCCCTCTATGTAGTAAAAACTTTCTTACTGTTGACAAAGCTCTACATGACTAATCCTAAAAAAAATGATCATCCAGGCTATGACGTAACCAGCATCTGCACCAATGCCAGCACCTAACACTTGTCCTCCTGCCTATCCTATATACCTTTAAGAATATTGTTAGCAACTTGGAGAGCTAGATTTCAGTCATGAGACTGCTAGCATTTTTTAACCTTAGGTATGCACACTAAGAATAATTTTTTCCTTCTTTACCAACACATTTTCCATTTGAGGGTGGGGGCAGAGGGGTATGAATGGTCAGACCTGGATTGCTAGCTAGATGTATGGCTAGTACTCCAGAAGCAAGTACATCAATTTCA